GTCAAACAGCGATCTTATTAGATTTCATAAATTAACTTTCTAAGACCTCCAAGCCTGACCTGTTTCAACAGCTGTGTAGAGATTTTATTTTCAACATGTAGGAAATCTGTGCTGGGTTTGAAAATCGTAGAGATATAAGTTACTTTGGTGCCATGCTGGGGGATCAAGGTGAGCCACCAGTTTCACGTATTGAGTATTGTATGCAACGCTTCCACGGAGCGATTGCTCCAGCCGACGAGCACTTGCCTCCAGACTATGGGGAAAAAACAAGATACTTCAGCTCGATACAAACATTACAATTCATCGAAGGTGATAGAAGAATATGCTCCCATATTTTTTTAATTTTTTTTTTTTTGGGGGGGGGGGATATTTTCTGACTCTTGAAGTATGCCATGTTTCAAGATCATGTTATAGCCTGTATAAGCTAGCAAAATATGCTAGATATACAGGAACCCTTTTCCCACTCTCCATCAAAAAAAAAAATATTTAAAAAAAATAATAAAATTTGCTCTAGCAGCAGACAGACACATTTTTAACAACTTCCACAGAAAGGGTCCGACAATCCTAAGAACCAAAAGAAGAAAAAAAAAAGAAAAAAAAGGTTCTGCAGACGATGTTGACATAGGCACGGGGCCCGCCAGGGAGCAGGGAGCAGAGACAATCTTGGAACGAAGCGACAAATAAAGCCGTCCAAAACCAAGACAAGAGAAGTCACGCAGGCCTAGGACAGTTACCGAGTTCGAGCATACAATGCGGAGGTGGCTTCCCCTTCCGAATCCCCCTGGGGGCCCACAGGTTACCTCCCCTTCCAGGCTACCTAAACAAACTTAACCATCCTTCCTTTACACATCATTGCTTGAATCCCTCTCCCCCACCCCCCATTTTTTCCCCTTCTTTAACTATTTTTCATTTTGTGTCAAGGAATAATACAACTGGCATGCGGAGCAGAGTCGCTATAAAAGCCCTTATTATTAGGACCCGCCACAAGCAATAATGATTGGAGCGGACCCAAAGCTTGCTCGTTAAAATAACAATCATCGGAACGGGGGAGGGGGGGATACGAATGGGGTGGTGGTGGTTATTCCTAAATCCCGGGGGGTGTCAGTCTGTCGAGTCAAAATAATCCTTGAGAGCAGACACAGTTATACGCCCCTACCCTACGACGGTCCTGTCATTACTGACAATTATTTGACCGTTGACTTTCATCTTAACATCACTTAATGTCAACTTACTCCACTCTCTGGAGGTTTCGTCAATGGAGTTTTACTAAATAACATCCCGCCCCACTCCACCCTCCCCCCCCCGTTTATTGTGGTCACCCATTATGTCTTTACCATCATAAAAAAACTACGCATAAATGTTCTAAATGTAGTCACCGAACATCATATAATGTGTGTATCACATCACTGTAAGCCATGCACATCTTACTCTGGGTGTGTACAGCATATAGCATACACCTTCAACCGTCTATTTGTATATACAACATATACTGTGAGTGTATGTGTACACTGTACTGTGAGTGTATAGTGTACACTGTACTGTGAGCGTATAATGCATCCCAGGATCAACTAACCCCCCGCCCCCACTCCCCCCAACCACCAATTTTGTTTCTATATTGCAAACAAAATTTACCCAAGCGTGTCCACTCTATCCGCAGCCGGCAAAATAAACATTAACGCCACCCAACACCTCTATGTACACAACGCCACCCCCCGCACCTCAATGTATATAACGCCACCCACACCTCAATGTACACAACGCCACCCCACACCTCAATGTACACAACGCCACCCCTCGCACCTCAATGTACACAACGCCACCCTCGCACCTCAATGTACACAACGCCACCCAACACCTCATTGTACACAAAGCCACCCCATACACCTCAATGTACACAAAGCCACCCCTTACACCTCAATGTACACAACGCCACCCACCACACCTCAAAGTACACAACGCCACACCCCACACCTCACTGTACACAACGCCACCCCACACCTCAATGTACACAACGCCACACCCCACACCTCATTGTAATTGTACACAATGCCACCCACCACACCTCAACGTACACAACGCCACACCCCACACCACAATGTACACAACGCCACCCCTCGTACCTCAATGTACACAACGCCATCCAACACATCTATGTACACAACGCCATCCCTCGCTCACCAATTCACACAACGCCACCCCATACACCTCAATGTACACAACGCCACCCACCACACCTCAAAGTACACAACGCCACACCCTACACCTCAAGGTACACAACGCCACCCTCACGCCTCAATGTACAAAACGCCACCCCACACACCTCAATGTGCACAACGCCACCCCACACACCTCATTATACACAAACATTTATATCTGGACCCATCTCTCCACAAGACTCACCACCGCAATGTTTGAATGTTCTACCATCTCCTTGTCACTTATGATGATTTTTTGTTGTTGTTGTCTTCACCATCGGATTATTTATTTTCTTTTTAACATATTCCAACTTAAAAATCGTATGCTGACATGATTCTGTTGTGATATGCATGCTGGCGATTTGCTGACTAGGAAATTAGCTTATACTTCTAAAGAAAAATTCCGTGCCTTGTGGTTTTGGTCCTGCGAAGTCTCCATCGTCACATTGTGATGACAAAAGTTTATAATATGATGATATATAATATTGCAATGATACGTAATGTAATCACCCAATGTGCCAAGTATCATCAGAAAAAACGCATTAATGTGCTAAATTTAATCACCAAACATCATATGAGATGACAAAAGTTTATAATATGATGATATATAATATTGCAATGATACGTAATGTAATCACCCAATGTGCCAAGTATCATCAGAAAAAACGCATTAATGTGCTAAATTTAATCACCAAACATCATATGCGTGTATCACATCACTGTAAGTCATATAACTGCAAGATTGTACTTTTTATGTGTGTGTAAAGTTAAAAAATTGAATTTTTTTTTCCGAGCAGTGTTCCTGTTAGGCCATACACTCGCTGTAAGTTGATATCGTTTTTTGTTTCTGTAATTTAAATTTGTATTTTATGGAAATTTAATAGTATAATTAAATTGACTATTGTTGGTATCACTAGCTTTTGTATCATTTTGTTAACTTGTTTTCAGTCCTTTGTTATGTATTTTTCATTCTACGAGTCAAATCTTAAAACAGATAACAATTTCAAAACCATCATACAACGATACGTAACAAGTGAAACAAAACATCACACAGAGCTGAATTAATGAAACAGTAAAATCTTTGTTACAATCTGAAACTTTATTTATAAACAATCATTTCAAAAGAATTAAATTTTAAATGTGCATTTACTATCTTTATTTATACTAGTTTATAGCATTATGATTCAACTAGGGCCAATTCACATTTTGGTCCAGCACATTTCGGTCC